TTCATAAAACAAGTTGTGAGGATGTGTTCAGTCATTAACTGGGGGCAGTACTGCTTTGTGCTCGGTTGTACTTCAAAGTTAGAGCACAGCAGAATAAAATAAATAATGTGCAGGAGGACGTCTCCAAGGAGGATTTGCTGACTCAAAAGCCGTGACGTGACTCGTACAATTGCTCTGTAAATAAATACAGATTACAGGGGGCCTGGGGGAGACAGAGTACAGCAGCTTCTGCTAAAGCCTTCTGATCCATCACTTCTTGCTTTTATTTTAATCTCTGATCCTTCTCACTTGGTATTGGTGGGATGAGTGGTGTCAGCACTTGGGATGTTTGGTGGTGACCGCAGCAAATTGGGCTGAACTCGTTACCGAGCATACAGAGCAGTCAGAAGTGTTTGAGATAATAAAAGCCACTGGATCCATCCCAACCAAAACCAGATAAAGGTAAAAGTAGCTGAAGAGAAGGAGAATGAGGTCTGCATCAGTGTATTTATTTTTATTAATAATCTTTGACCTTTTCTGACTGTCCACAGCAGAGTCTGCATTCATCTTTTATTACCTTTGATTGTTTCCGAACTGTGCTGTTGCTGTTTCTCCCCTAGCGCACCTTGCTGTCACAGAGCTGGGATTTATGAGTCCATTACAAATGGTTTTAGATAGGATCTGCCAGAGGAGGGTTAATAGTCAAGGGAAAAATAATGTGGAAAAACAGATTGCGAGGGAAATGTGCAGCTGATGGAAACGTCACGAGCGTGGAACTTCTCTGGGCTTTCCCAGGTCAGACAGTTATTCCCCTTCCCATCCAATATCCTAAAAAAGTGAATGCTGACAGCTGAGAAGGGAACCCTGCAACTTTACATCCTACTGTACTTTTTATTACCCAAGGGTTACAATAATTCAAGCCTTGCTGCAGCTTCTAGCAGTAATATTATCCTATTGTGTAACTGGAAAAGGGAGTCTTCTTCCCTTGGAGCTCTGGAAGTTGGCAGGGATTAAAATGACAAGCAGGAAGGGAAGCTGGGTATCTGTTTCAATTAAAAAAACTCAGTGTTGTAGTACCACAAAGCTGAAACATTAGTCAGACATTCCTGTTGGGAGAACTGACAGGAAATAATGTGATTTACAGTCTTGGGTATGTCTACAGCTTAAAAGGAAGGAAAAAAGAGTCATTTGCTGGTTGTGTGCTTCTGGTCCTGGATTAATTTACTGAGATATTTTGCCTGCAAACTGAGCAGTGATCAGAGTGATGTGATGTGGGGTTCCTTTGAATTGCATGGCATTGAACAGATGTTCTGCTTGCAGTGTCTCTTGAGGTTGTTACCTTATATTTTTGCTGTCTGAACATTGAGATGCTGCTTGTGCTTTGAATTTGGGGAACCTTTCAGATGCCAGTCTTGAGTAAAACTTGGGTGTGAAGTGTTTATCAAGATGTTTATCTGTCATTTCAGGCGTGTGGTTTTTGCACTGCAGTAATTTTTAGGTCCCCCAGTTGTTCTCAGTTGATGTCACAGATGGACAAGGGGGTCTCTAGCACGATCATGCCTGGAGTAGAAACGTTGTACTGGGTTTGCTGGTGGAAAAGATTTGGTGAATTATTTCCCAGGAAAGGCTAAACTGGGAGAAGCTCCCACTGTTATAGCACTGAGCTGTCTCAGCTCTTGGCTCAGGAGCTTGCTCTGAGTGGAGTTAATACAGAAATAGAGCACAGAAGTGAAACCAGCCTGGGTTTCTGTTTGGAGACTCTGCCCAGCTCGGTTTATGCTCAGCAATAACAGCCTCAGATGAGCAGCAGTGTCCCAACAGAGAAGGGAGATTCAATCCACAGGGATTTGGGAACAAATTCCTGCTGAGTGAAAGGCCAGGAGCTTTAAATGAGGTCTTTTACCTCCTTTGGAGTGGAATTGCCTTGGGATGGGGAGAGCTGCAGCTTGGTGTAAGCCCTCCTGGAAGATGGGATGGAGGTTCAGTCTCAGGGAACTGGCAGTGGAGAACTCTCCATTCCCAAAGCTGGGAATAAAACCTGGAGATTTCTGCTCTGAACAACATCTCTCCATATTCAGCCTTTAAAATGAGGGTGCACAGCCGTGCCCCTTTACAACTGCAATTTATACAATTTGTTTTGTAATTTTTCAGCACTGTTTTTTTTCTGATTTGAGATTTAACAGAGTGCCCAGATGATCACAGACCTGTGGCTGTTGTGACAGGGTTTCTTTTTTGGAAATAAGCTAAATACAGCAAAGAGACCAAAAAGAAAAGGAGTTTCTTTTCTTTTCAGACAAAGGAAGCTGTAAAATAACTACTACAGACATCCTCATAACATTTTTTCCCTGGGGTAGTGCCATGGGAATGCTATAACAGGTGCTTAAGTGGAGATTCTAGATAGGCAAACATCTTTAAAGGAAACTTATTAAAGAGCTTTCATCTAAGCTAATATTTTCAGTCTTTGAGATTCCTGTGATCTCTAAATCCTTCAGTGACTTCAACTGTAATAAAACTTCATTTAGAATTTCTGTCTGAACTCCCTGCTCCTCCACAGGAGGTTCTGGGCTGGATGAAACAGGAATGGTGGAAAATGACCTATCAAGTAACACTAAGCTCATTAAGTCCTTGGCTTTGGGAGCAGCCCAGCCTGTCTGATCACCTGCTCAGAGAGCAGAGCTTCAGGAGCCTCTTCCTGGGGAAAGGCAAAAATTCCACAGAAATCTTTTGTCTGCAGGTCTGTTAAGAAGCCTGGTCTTCAGTATGTGATTTTACAAAAGAATTAAGTGGAAATCCAGGGTAGGTGAAGTTGGGAGCAGCAGGAGGGGTTTGGGGAGGTGGGTGAGGCATGTCCTGAGCTCTCTTCCTTCCTCTCACACACTCGTGTGAAGGCTTTGGGGGGTTTCACTGATCCAGTGCCACTCTCAAAACTGCATCCAAACATCCCAGGGATGTTGAGCTTCTGTGAAATCAGAGAGCTGTGTGGTTCCTGTCCCTGTGTGCCTGCAGCTCCTCCATCTCCTCCAGCTGGGCTCAGGCTTTGACCTCACACCTGCCTTTTAAATCTTCACCTGCAGACAAAGAACCAGGAGGATCCTGGTTCAATTCCCTGTTCAGTTCTGAAATAGTGGTACCAGATGTCTCCACTACCAAGGTACTGCTTTGCTCTGTAATCTCTCAGTTTGTGCTGCCTTTTTGACCATTCCAGCCGGATTTATGCCGGATTAAAGCGACTGTATAACCACAGGTTTAGGGACACAACTGCAGCAGAGGCTGCCTTTATTCTGGTGCTTTTAGAGATCTGCTGGCAGGCTGTTTAATTACCTAAATGCTCTGTGAGAAACTGAGGAGTCCTGCTGCTCAGCCTTGCTGTTTTACCTCCTGGATAGCAGGGAAATACACTGTACCAGGTACGGTGCCTGCATATTTTTATTTTTATTTTTATTTTCCCATTGCTCACAGCCACGTATGTCAGCTGTGTGTGAACCCCTTGGAGAATCTCTGCCTTAAACAATCCTGCTCGTGTGTTTTACAGCTGTTATTGAATATATATTGGGTAAAAATGGTCACTCCAGGTTTATCCATGAACACTGCAAGTGTGGATACACTCCTTCATGCAGTGTATTTTATTATCAGTTTGCCTCCCTGTAAAATGCTCTGGGGTTGCAGCTTTTGTGGTGGTTTTTAACATCCTTCCCTAGGCTTTTTTGTGTTTTAAACAATCCCAGCTGGCAGAGGAGGACAGAGCACTCCCTGAAGTGTTCCCACGAGGAGCAGGACCCTGTGACAACGTTCCAGGTTTCCATCCTGGAGGCAAGAGATGGCAGGGAAGAGAGATCCCCTGCAGTTACAGACCACCTAAAAACCTCTGTCCTTGGGGTTTGTCCTAGTTTAGGGCAAATTAGGGAGGAAAACTCTAACTACTGAGAGTTCAGTAGCCAAAAGTGAGGAGTTCCCTTCCCCTGGCCATCTAATGAACAACTTCCTCATGGATGTCCACTAAACTCAGCTCTCCCTCCTCCTCCTTCCCTCATTCCACAGGTTTAGTTTAATTGCAGGAAACTTGGCTTCCTGTTTCTCCCTGTCCTGGGGGCTGCTGCCTTGAGTAATGTGATAATGGAACTGTGTTAGTATTGGAGCTGTTTTTAAATAACACTTTGGGAGCTTGACAGAACACGAGAGGGTGAAATTAAACCTCAGCTTGTGGGATTTGGGTGGCTGGAAATGGCAAAGAGAAAAAGGAAGGGAGGAGCAGTAAAAACAAACTGGTTGTGCTTCACCTGACCTGGGATCAAAGGAGCTTGGGGAGATTTTGGGTGCTCTTAGGTCAGCAGGGAAGCGTCTGTTTGTGTCTGTTGGTGAAAAGGACAGCTAAAGGTTATGTCAGGATCCTGGTTCAGCTCCTCAAGTGTCTGGGGCACATTTTCTGACCCTGCAGTGGAGTTTAAGGGTGTTTCTTTGTGTCAGAGTTGCTGTGAGACCAGCTACAGTGAGCCCTTTGGAGAGAGTTTCTGTGTTAACTCGAAGTTATTGAAGTTAGACACAGGCAGCTCTTGGTGTTTCGTAGGAAGGAGGAAATCATGGATTATGCTTCATGTGCATGTTTCATTCTGGTTTAACTCCTGGTTTCATTCTGGTTTGCTGATAAAGCTGCAGGAGAGAGGGAGCTCTGGAGTGGATCAGAGTTTATCTTGGATGCTGGTTATCTCAAGCTGATCAGTGCAAACGAGGAAGTGTTAAACCTCCTTTTGGGAGAAGGAACTTTCAGTTCCCTAACCCAGGTTATTATTGAGATAGTGTGGAAAAACAACACATTAAACACTTACACAAACATTGGGAGCGTTTTGGTGAGGCAAAGACCAAACTCCTTTCCATCAACTGCACGGTGTTAAATTACCAAATCAATAATCCACAATGAAATATAATGAATTTTACCTGAATTAACGCAAAGCTGCTGAGAACTGGGAGCTGTGTGTTGTGTTCCCTGCCCACCTTGTGACTGAGGGCTCTTTTTATTCCTGCAGAGTGACCAACAGCTGGATTGTGCCTTGGATTTGATGAGGCGCCTGCCTCCGCAGCAGATAGAGAAGAATCTCAGCGACCTCATTGACTTGGTGAGTACTGGATGCTGTCCCCACAAGGGATTTGTCTGTCCCTCTGTCCTTTGGCAAGGCTGAACAACCAACCAAGCCACGTCAGGAATCCAGGTGTTGTTTTGGGCTGCAAAGACACTTAGGGGTGAGGGGTCATTAGCAGCTCTGTTAACGAGCTCGGTGCCAGGTGGGAGGCTGCTGTTTGAATTTGGGGCAGTGTGTAGGGTTGGATGCAGCCCCTTTTACCTCCTGCTGAACAGCCTGGGGTGTGGAGCTGTGCTGCCCCACACGCTGCAGAATCTCTGGAGAACACCCAGATCTATTTATAATTTGTGCTCTGTCAGATGTTCTGCAGTCTAGTGGCAAAAACCAAACCTGGCTGACCATCTTGTGTCTGATATCTTTTTTTCTGCTCATTCCTGGGACTTTTGTTGTCCTTTACACACTGCTGGGGAAGAAAACTGACTTTAGAAGGATTTCTAGGCTCGTTACACGTCTTGTGATGCACGTTTGGTGCCAGCTTAAAACAGTGTGTGGCACAGTTACCTCTGGAGAAACTGAAGGTGTTCCTGAAATATGGATTTAATTTATACAGAGTCTGCTAGTGGGAAAACTGGGTTCTATTGTCCAGTCTAAATACATGGCTTATCTCTGACCTAAAGCTTCTAAATTTGTGCAGAAGAGCAGCTGCTCAGCAGGCAGAGGTTTGGTTGGGAAGCTACGGTCAAAAAGTTGTGGCTGGCTTAAATTTATCAAACTCTAAACATTTCTTTTACTTCTGTGTGCCAAGGTACAGGTAAGAGAGCTCTGGGTGTCAGGAAATAAATGATTCCCTGCAGGAAGAGATTATTTCTCTCTCTTGAAACCATTTAGTAATTGGCTACATCTGTGCCCCCAAAACTAAAGTGTCGTTTTTGTGGCTGTTGCCAGAGGTAGGACACAAGTGACTAAATCACTGATCTGATCTGGTGTGACATGGTTGGTTTTGTGATGAAATTGGGAGGACTGGGCGAGTATTGGGGTTTGAGCAGCTCCCAGGACCGCTCAAAACAAGGAGTTGTTTGGTAAGCTGGAGTGTGTAATTGGTCTGAGGTTTTTTAATGACTCAGAAAATTGCTGGGTACCTCTAAATGCTGGAATTACTTTTGGATGGTGCTCATTAGTGCTCTACATGCTTTCCATCAGCAACACGCTCCCTGGGCTCCTTTTCATAGCATAACACGAACCAGACCAGTTTGGTGCTTGTTAGAAGGAGGGTCTGTGACCCCCACACGAGGCACTGCAGCCCCTCTTCTGGGGCAGAGATGAAATCATTTGTTAAATCCAGCACCATTCCTTTATTGCTGAGACACCTGCAGACCTGTTCTGCAGCCACTCTCAGCCTGACCTGAAGTCTCCACTGGTTAGACAAGAGCAGAATGGTCCAGGTTGATTAAATTTGGGGGAGAATTGTAAAACGTGGCACCTTGACTTCTTTCTTGGCTTCCTTGTGCTGTGTTTCCTTGCCAGGGTGGAGTGGGTGTGAAGCAGAGGCTCATGGCAATATTTGGTGTGAAGTTTAGGGTATTACTCGAAGTCTGTTTGCAGCTCAGTTTGCCATGGTCCTTTTAGAGGACTTGATCTCCAAACTGATGGTGGCTGCTTGCTTAAGATCCATTGGAAGGAGAGAAGATGGCTTAGAAATGTCATTGTGTGTAAAGAGTTTTATAAATTAAGACAGTGAGAAACTGGCATCTCCCTTCTAGAATCCCAGGATGGTTTGGGTTTGGTGAAGCTCGAGTCACACCCCCTGCCATGGGCAGGGACATGAGAACACCTCGTTCCCAGCCCCGTCCAGCCTGGCCTTGGACACTTCCAGAGATCCAGAGGCAGCCACAGCTTCTCTGTGCCAGGGCCTCAGCACCCTCACAGGAAGGAATTTCTTCCAAATATCCCATCTAACCTCGTCCTCTGGCAGTTTAAAACCACTGCTGTTTCTGCTGGGAAGAATAAGCACACTGAATTCCCTCCCTCAGGTGCCTCTTCCTCTCTCCACGTTCTGCTGCTTGTGGCTCATAAAAGAGCATCTTGATCCCAAACTGAATACATGGACTGTGTCCAGGATTATCCAGGACTGTCCATGACTGCCCCCAAGTGTTGTGGTGACGAGGAAAATGCCTCAGACTCCAACATGAAGCAAAAGAGGGGGTGGAAGAAGAGAATTTTTGGGTCACTGGCCCTCATCAGCCCAGACACTTTTCATTCATTAGCAAAACAGTTTGTGGTTTGCCCTTCCACCACATCTGTTGTTGGGTTTTTCAGGCTGCTGAGGCTCCAATTAGAGTTCATTAGAGACCTTGTCAATCACAGCACTGCAGAAGTCCTGCCTGGAAGAAGCTGTGCGTGGTGCTGGAAGTGGGACTTGGCATGGAATGCTCTGCTTGGGGTTCAGGTAGTCATTATTTGTCAGTGCACCACTCAGAGGCTGTCAGAATGTACAGGAGGACTTGTGGATCTCCACAGAAGGAGTTTGCTGTTAGCACATGCCTTTTTAAGGGCAACTAATTTCAATTGGAATCGTTTTCCGTGGAGCTCCTGTTGAAACTGAGCCTCAGAAGATCTGCCTGTGGGCCAAGTCCAAGCTGGAAGGAAGGTCCCAAAAGGGGAAGGTGATTGCACTGCTCTGCAGTGGTTTTGTTGTGAAGATGCTCCAAGTCAAAGGTTGGACTTGATGAACTTCAGGGTCTTTTTCAACCTGAATTATTCTGTGTGTAGTGACAAGGTCTTTTTCAACCTGAATTATTCTGTGTGTAGTGACAAGGTCTTTTTCAACCTGAATTATTCTGTGTAGTGACAGCACTTGGATGAGTGCTTGGAGTGGCTGAGCAGCTCATCCTGAAAGATCAGAACAATCCATGGCCATTTTCCTCCTGCTTCCTTTCTCTTCAGGTCAGCTGGACAGAAAATCAGCCCTCTGTACTTTCAGGTGTTCTTTTTCCAAGAGAAATCCCAAAGAAGAATCAGCTTCTGGACACCTCAGCAGCAGAGTCACAACCTCCAGACTCCTTTTGTGGGGTGTTTTCTTCAGACAGCTTCAGTGGTGTGTCTTTGAGGTGGCAAAGGGGGAAGGAAACTGGATTTATTGATCTGTTTATTTATTTATGTTATTATTTATTGCCTCGATGGCTTTGACTCGTGGCGTGGAAGTCGATGCACTCTCAGTCTTGGTGAAAGTTAAGCAGGTTCCTTGAGCAAGTACAAATTTCCTGCTGACTGTTTAATTTGGATGTTTGCCTGGGTGTGTATAATAGAAATTAGATGGAAAATCTAGCTGACTCAGGAAAATCAGATGCCTGGCATGGAGTGGGGACAGAAAATGGTCCTAGATTTGCCAGGAGAGCTCACAACCACAGCTTTTTCCCTCTCTTCTCCCAGTAAGATTGGTATTGAAACAGCAGCCATTCCCAAAAGTGAAAGCTTAACAGAACCAAGTAATGCTGCCCTGGAAGAAATAAAGTGAGAATTCTTTATAGACACAGCAGTCATAACTTTGCTGGTTATTTTTTTTAAGGCTCTGTTTGCAATTAAAGATCTGGGAGGTGATCAGCTCTCCTTTCTCATCACAGGGGAATACTGAAGTATTTTTAGTAGAACCTGTTACTTTTTAGATGAATCTTAAAATGTATAAAATTATGATTTTGAGATATTTAAATCTGCTTGCAAGCCTTCAGTCACTGAAGATCTATGAAGCTCCAGAATTTAGCCCCAGGCAAACTGCACTGCCTGGGCTGCACAGACCATAAAGAACATGAGAATGTGACTGGAGCTTTTTGTGTTTGGAGTCCAAGAGCCCGAGCAGGACTTGCAGGGGAGAGATAAAATAATTGGATGCAGATGGCCAGCTGAGCGTCTGGCGAGGGTGGGAGATGTTTTTAAACAAAAAAAAAAAAAAAATTAGATCCAGTGAAAGCTGAAAAAGAAGGTGGTGGAAGCAGAAGTGCTTTGACAGCCCTGTGGGCTCAGAGCTGAGTTTTTGACCTGCTGTTCTGCCTGGACTTGCTGACCTGTGGCAGTTTTCTAACACAAGGATTATTGGCTAAAGAAAGGGGCTCTGGCTCTCAGAATAAATTTATAGTGGTTGAGAGCAAGTTTTTTCCATTTGAGTGAGTGGCTGTAAGCAGGAGCTTTTCCAGCTAGCAAAGATTACCTCTGGATATCTTGATGGTAATTGGAGATAGCAATTAATGCATGTAAATTGTTAATGTGGTGCTTGGCTCAGAGCTAGCAGCCCCACTTCTTGGCATGAGATTGGAAAAGGGAATTTCAATTCTGCCTTTATATAACTTATTCTTTCTATTTTTAAGCCTTTTTTGTCTTCCAGGCTCCTGCCACTGCACTGCTGATGTTAGAGACCCTTAAAATACCAGTTTAAATATCATTTGAAGGGCATGTGTGTGAAGATGAATCCTAGCTGGAAACCTCCCTAACCTCTTTAAAGGATGGAGGGGAAGGCTGAGATAGAGCAATATCACTGGAGAGAATATTTCCTGCATATCCCTAAATCCTTGCTGGATATCCCCAAGCCCAGCTGGACTCTGACACAAGCAGTCAGGGTTTCCCAAGATATCTGGATGGCTCCTGGGAGTGGGAACAGGATACAGGAGCTTTCACCTGCAGGTCACTCTGTGGCTGCTTTTTGATTCTCAGAAAGGGAATCCAGTAAAAAAAACCCCACTTTTATCCAGCAAAGCACAGGAAGAAAGCCAAGGATCCTGTTTTATGAATGGTTGTCACCTTTTTAAATGCAGTTCCTCGAGCTGAATTCAAACATTCTGTAATTAATGTGATATAGCTAACAAACCTGAATTTGCAACCTCGTTAACATCTGTCTTTTTCCAGAAAAAAGCTCATTTGGCTTAATTTTGGTTTTGCCAATTCTTGCAGTGCTGAAATTCAGAATACAAGATGAATAACACAGAGCTTTTTTCCAGTATCAATTCTATCTTGT